CTGCCATTTAAAGCTGTACTTCATCACCCATTGGATCGCATTATTACCTTCGGAAAAGTGTGGAATCGTGAAAAAGTCTACAATGGGATTTCAAGAACGCACACCAACGACGTATTATGAAATCATTTAACTCAGTGCTAGTGCTGAATTGATGTCAGTCAACAAACATTCTTTCGAAGAACAGTGTGTCCCTACTACCAGCTCCAAAGCAGGACTATCCACTGTGTAAACGGGACCCATTGAGTTTTGAGTACTTCAGACATGATTCAAATGTCCAGCTTCATACCAGCCTTTTTTAGACCGCGACGCAACATAATTCGCACCAGTTATGTTTCTATGGTTTTGTTATTGACAGTGGTAAGGACATCAAGTGAAGATATTTCTGTCAGTAAGTATGACACTACACTTAATTTTACGTCTTCTACTGAACGCAAGGGAATATACTTGCGGTGATGAGCGAAGTAAATGCTTTCACGATCTCGTAAAACGCTTGAAAGGATTGTAAAAGCTGAAAAACGTTTTCGGTTTTGTAGGAGTGAAAAAGCGGTTGTGGTGATGGAAAATGTGGCAGCCCGGGATAGGAATGGCCCCTCCTCTACCTTTTTCGTTGCCTTCCTCGTGCTGGAACTTCTAAATGAAGCTTTTCGGTTTTGATATCAATTTGTTTACTCAATTCGTATGTGTAATAAACGATTGACCTCAGTTGGTGGATCAACATTTATTTCATTGAGAACAGTGATTAAATCTATTGACTAAGAAATGTCGCTAAGGTGTTATGCGATCGAAATTGATGAGTTTACGCGAAAGTATTGGAAGAGAAGCACTTTTAGTGAATGATGTGCATTAAATTGTTGCTACAGTTAAAGGATTCAACACCTTTACAAGCATGGCGATTTTCGCGTGGTAGTCCCATTGGACGGTTTGCTATTGGAACACACATCAGATGCGCATTGGAATCAAGATGCGCGGTCCAAAAGATGCAACAGAATGCATATTGCAGTCATTGCGCGTGGTCGTGAAAGGGATAAATTTTAATTGTTATTGTAGCACAATTTACATCAGTATAAGCAAAAAAAACTATTGGAAGCAGCTAAAAAGCGATTAAAGCTAAAGAAGAGGCGCCGGATCTTTGTGGATATAGTATCCCACTATTCCCCCTAATGAGCTAGGACGAGACTGCCACTGCGTCCTACCATCATATGATTTGTAACCGTAAAGTTCTACATGAGCCTTTCAAGCTCCGAAAGCGAGCCTCGAACGTCGAAGCCGCAGCTGGTAAAAAACCTCACGGATTCCACCCTCTGATGTTCAAATAGCCATAGCAACCATAATGAGAAGCTCAGATATAGGACCCGATAATAACACCTATTTCTTTAAAGCTTGGGGCCACAGATTACAAGTGCCCCTCGCAACCCTTATGATATCTCACCCTCAGAAAACGAAAATCCCTCATTAGAAGGAATATTGCACGCCATCGCTCCACTCAAGAAGGGCAACCGAAGGAACCTTCGTAACTGCTGTTCAATATGTCTGTTGAATGCGATCTATAAACTGTTCACGAAGATTATCCTTTTGTGCATATTAAAGACCTTGAATGAAGCACAGCTAGTTGACCAACCAAGACACCGACAGGGATTCTACTATTTGGACCACATTCAATCATATCAAGGTCATAGATACCTGTTCGGAGTGCTTTATCCTTCTTGTGCTAGCCTTTATCAACTACGAAAAAGCAGCGTCAAAACGGATGCACTCCTACCAGCGCTCGTAGACCAGAGAGGGTACCCATTTTATGCCCGAATACTAGCCACTTTCATCGGGCGCGCTTCACAAAAACGCAACTTTTCCGTCGACACCTAACAATTCCTTCAGAGAAACGTGATTGATAACACGACACCACCAAAGCTGTTTACTGCTGCATTGTTGTAGACAATGAAGTCACTCGACTGAAACGAGAAGGTAGTAAATATTGACGAAAATTCCTCTCAAATGTTCATTCCGTGGATGTCATCGTCATCCTTTCGAGGAGTACCAGTGAAGCAGAGATGATGCTCATTAAACTCAAAGAAGTGGAAGAAATGATTCGACTGCACTTAAATAGGACGAAGACTCAATTAATGAAGAACCCATGGTGCGAAGGCGATCAAATCAAAATGCATGGTTCCTTGATCGCACAGAATACCTCAAACGCGTTCCTTCGACGTTCGCTGAAAATAGAGTACAAGACAAACGGGGAATTAAACCGAAGTAAAGCAGTAAGGGCCGCATTCGAGCCTCTGAAGTTCATAGATCAATTATAAGACGCAAATCTCTGCCGCCGCCTTTTCAACTCAGCAGTCCTCGCTGCGCACTGTTGTGCAGCAGCGACGTGAGCGGATATTTCAACCATGCACAGAATGCAGAGCACTGCGCAAAAGCGCTGGAACATTAACTTCTGAATATAAGTGAAACAAAACCTAGTCGGAATCCGAGTCTCGTATCTTCGAAACGATTTTCGAGGCCCAAGGCATCACACATCGGTGGCGAAACTGGGTTGGCAGTTTACGTAATAGGGAGAACATATGACAGATGAACAAAAGAAAAGAGTGTAAAGTGGAGTCAACGGAAATACAAGCGTGAATTCTCTTGGACGATCACCTATGTTGCATTTAGGTATGTTCGTAGGCTACATTAAAGACCTGCTTCGTTGAACTGGCCTGCGACAATGACTTCGTCTGAGTTCCGCAATCGAAAAGTTCGCTCTGCGTGATTAGAAACCAAACCTTTAAAGAAATTTTCTTGTTACTCTAATACTAGGAAACTCATAGAAGCCCTTAACTAGCGAACTCATGCCGTTTAAAGGCGTTAGTCGCTGTGGTTTCTGGAAAGAGTTGTTAGCATCGCCGGTTTGCCTGAAATCATCGAATATACGTCCTCGATCAGTCTGCTTAAAGTAGAAAATTCGTATCTCTTCTTTTATATTTAAAACCGAAATGGAGTCGTAAGGCGTCGTGCAACTTCCACATCGGCCCTGAACAACAAATGATGTCAATAAAGAATATCTTAGGTGCGTTGCTTCTGTTCTGTTATTACTACTTGCTCCGACTTCTCTGAGAAGCATTCGCCTACAATAATAGCGAGTAAAAGAGACAATTTGCTGATTTGAGTAAGGTTAATTGTTTATTTCATGTGAACCACAAGCGGTGGTTTCATTCTTCAATAGAAAACGGTGAGTTGTTCTCGAATGGCACATTTCTGGTTTGGTCAATACACTTGATACTTGATACTTGAACGACCCGTCCTCATTATTTTTGCGGACCCCATCATAGTTTTCATTTTTTGGACATTTGTTGGTTAAGCCATCGTGTTTGCCTGGAATCCCGGGTTCAGCCTGGCCAAAACCTGCCCTAGGTCTTCACCACCACAGGCAGTCGCATCCATTGTGGATCAGAGGGAGATTTACCACCGTGCGACTTTGATACCAGGAAGGTGGTGGATCCTGGTATTGGTTTACTCTTAGCTAAGCTTCCTGATGGAAACGCTAGACTCCTTTTCAGCCTGGGAGACCCTGCCGGGAGACGAATCCTTCCGCTGTACATCGAAGCCCTAAACCCAGGAACACCTCTCAGCCATGATGAGGCGGTAAATCGTTGGGAGAGTTGTGCAGCTAGCTGACGACAATTAAGAATGTCCTCAATCGCATGCTATACGCTTCAGGTGGGTCGTCTTAGCTTAACGAATATGAATTTTGCAACACTTCATCAACAAACAACTCAACAACAACATTGGCGAATTGATATCTAAAGCCACCATCCAGGGATAGTCGTCGAGAATAGCAGCTGTTGTGCAAATGCGCAACAGTGGTAAATTAAGCTAATGCATGGCAGGGCTGTGTGAATTCAAGTGATCGGTGCTAGTGAGGAAATTAAATTATCCTGCTCCGAACGCGAAAGAAATAACTTTGGAGGCAGACAGTCTAATGTGACCAATACATGACGGATTTCACGATTCCTATCCCGTCTTTTGAAACACACGTATCCCAGTAATCCACGCTGTCATCGAATCGCAAGATTTTATCAATCGATATACATTGCGGAGGAAAATCCTGCGATTCCTAAATTTGATTGAGCTAGGAGTTTATAATAGCCTTTCACAGCAATTATCCCGGGTGTAGACCGTCTGTCTTCAAGGTAGGGATCCAAAATTGTTTTTTTTTCATTATGCCGCTCCTCCACGCATAAGGCTTCAATAGCTTTGATCCACTTTACGATTACATCCACTTCAATGAACTTTTCTAATTACCATTATCCGTGCACCGTACACAGGACGGAATCTTTTTGTGTGCCGAGAAAAACAAAAGCCACAGATGTTACAAATAGAAGAAAAAAAATTTAATACTAATTAATACCAGTTTATTTAGAACTGGAAGCCTAGACGAGTAAACCAATACCAGGATCCACCACCGCCCTGATATCAAAGTCGCATAGTGGCAAATCTCCTTCTGATCCACAAGCGCTGCGACTGCCTGTCGTGGTGAAGATCTGAGGCAGACTTTGATCAGGCCTCCTCGGGATTCCAGGGAACCATAATGGCTTAACCAGTAAATTTCCGAAAATTGGAGATTGTGCTGCTGCTCACACAACCAGCGAGAACGGGTCATTCAATTAATAACTCAAGTCAGGTTATTTAGAATTACAGTTGCGAGCAGGAGAAATTGGCAGTCGAAGCAGTTGTGGGATGCCCACTAACGCCTCCAACAACCTCCGAGCCGGAATACACAAACTTCTACCAGTACTAATTTGCATTTCATGTGACGGTTGAGAAAATCAAAATAAATCAGAAGGTATACCTCAAGTATTAAAATTTCAGCTATCGCCTTCACCAAGGACCTACGTTCATTAGACATACCGCCATTTTGTCTGAAACGTTGTTCAAGTGGCAATTCAAAAGTGAAGAGCGTAAGAAGGTATACTTTGTTAAGAATAGCTTCGAGCGAAGAAAAATATTTTGTACCTCGACAGATGGAACGATCGGATATTGGAAGCATTGGTTGCGCAGCCGCCAAATGTCCAGAATCGGAAGGCACGGTCGAGATTAGTGTGGCGTGCTTTTACGGCAAAATGTAAGCTGTATTTTCTCAAAAGAAAAAGTCCTCAAGTAAAACTTGTTTCGATGATAAATTTGGCAATGAGAGGTTCACAGAATTGAAATTGATTGGAACCACCATCTTGCCTTCATGAGCACGAAGAATTTCCTGAAAATGGAAACCTTGCCTTTTTCAACGTTTATGATTGTTCAAGAACTGGAGACAGAGTGGCAACATGACATCGCACTCATTACACATGGAAATTCATTCACAAGACCAGGTCCCACATTTCATTCTGTCGGCCTACATCTATTGGATGAATATTGTCAGTAACGACCCATTTTTTCTTTTTGTAGACCTCATCATATCCCTACACATGTCTCAGCTAGACGGGATCGAAGCAAATTCAGCCGTCACACTAAAAGACGTAGCTCAAGCCGTAATGGGATGAGCACTGATTAGATGAGCCATCAAATGCCAGCAGTGTTCTCGTAGGATAATTGACGCTCGCTGCAATGAGTGCATTTCAGTTGTACAGCCAACTATGCTTCATACACGATGTCAAAGCAAACTCTTGGTGAAAAATGATTGTTAATACCACTACAATAACTGAACTCATATGAGCAAACAAGGGGCGCGTGTGGCGCAGTAGTCGCAGGCGCCCTGCAACACATCTGTGGAATCGATCCCCACGCCCATGGCCCAACAAGCCTTCCATCTTTTCGGGGGTCAAAAAATTGGTACCAGACTTGTGTGCGAGGATAGCTGTACTGATTCGATACGTCGGTAAGTCATCGCGAGCCATTGTAAGGGCCAGATATGCATTCAATCACTGCCAAACGATACTTAATGAAGTCGAATGCATGGCTCATCTCTCAGGGATTGACCAACGCCTATATCTTCTTATCCTTTTTGTGAGCACTTTGCGAGCGAGCTCATGCCGTATAGAACTAATCTTTGCGGTTTTCTCATAACAGTGGGTAATGTGGACGGCTGTGCAAGGGTTTAACCTTACCAGTATGCCTCGATTAATTTGTTAGAAATGAATGAAGTTCCGAGGATCGACTTTCTCTTAACCTCGGCATTGGAATATGAATGTGTCGTTTTCTTGTTCAGCCATCGCGACGATTTTAAACAGCATACATTTACTTCCATAGAAGAACATAATGCAATACAACGCTAGCTGATGTTTCGGCAGTATCGCCTTCTTCAGAGCCTGGAAGGGTATGCTGATATACAATCTACTAGGCCAAACGCTTCAATAACACTTACAAAAAGACGAAAAACTCTTTGGTGATCAACAAAACATGATCAACAACTTCTCGAAAAAACCCACCGCTTTTTCGTGACTTCCAATGAGGAAGTTTGGAACAGCTGATTATAGTCGCATATGGTTGACGACTGCACCATCCCACATCAAAAATCGAACGGGATCAGGTCGCGTATGACCACCGGGCATTCGTCCCTGCTATTCATTGTAGGGTTTTTGGCTTTGATCCAAAAAGCCTCAAGGAGTTTTCGCGCTGGTGTTTTGGACTCCTGTGCGAAGATATTGACTTTTACTTCAAAATCGTCTCCGCTCTGCTTTTGTGCCCCATGCGTGCCTAGTGGGGTGCTTCGTCTTAGTTTTCGTTTGCCATCTAGGTGTTCTTTTATACGGATACACAAAGGTCTGCCCGTTTCGCCAATATATTCATCTCCGCAATTGTTACACGAGATCAGGTATATCGTACCTGAACTCATGCAATCACCGTCCCTGCCGTAAGAGCAAATTACGCAATTTGTTGTTTCACACAGACGGTCATACAGGCGGTTGCGAACTAATTGGCGACGTAGAGTGGCCGGTGGTATTTCAACTATCGCTACCGATTCCTCTAGACTTGCCCTTCTTAAGCATCGTTTCATAGCTACGCTTACTTCATCGCTTATAAAAGGCAACATGAGCGGGATTTTGTTATGGCCAAGTGTTTCGCGTGGGCGCGTCGTTCTCCTTGTAAACTTATCTCGTGGGGTTACTATTTCGTAGCCATTGGAGATGGCTATTTGCTGGTTTCGTAGCCATTGGAGATGGCTATTTGCCGAGTCAAGTCGCGCGATTCTTCCTTTAGTTCTCTGATAGTGCACATAGAGGTGGCTGTTCGAAACATGTTTCTCACAATCGCCCTCTTTGTGTGTGAAGGGTGGGAAGAAAGGAAATGAACAAAGATTTTCTTGTTACTTGGCTTTCGATACCACTTTGACAGGTAACCGCTACTTGATAGGTTTATTTGGACGTCCAAAAACGGAAGCCAGTTTTTTCTCGGTTTCTCCCGGGTGAGCTTTATGTGCTCGGGCTGCTCGTTCAATAATTCAAAGCATTTGTCCATCTCCTCCTGCGTAGAGAAGACGACAAAACAATCATCTACATATCTGCAGAAGAGTAGTGGCCGGAGATCGAGAACAGGGGCTTCTATCTTGGACATAAACACAATGGCAAGGCTTGGTGCCAATCGCTGTCCCATTGCCAACCCCCTTATTTGCGCGAAATATTTCCCAGACCATCTGAAAATCGAGCAGTTTCGGCACTCCTTTAAGAGAGCCATTAGCTGCTGAATGGACAAGCCATGCATATTTATTCTTCCTTCATGTTCAACAAGAAGTTCGAAGATGGCTTGCATTGCAGAGTCATTCGACACGTTGGTGTACAGTGCGGTAATTGTTTGTGAGGTGAGCTAGAATGTGGTTAAGCAACTGGGTAAGTATCAGGCTTAAAAACCAGGTTATTCTATCCGTTGGCCCGTCTACATAGCTGATGATGGGTCTAACCTTAAATGATGACGGATTGGTTGACGCATGATCATCAGGTGATACCAACTTATGTATTTTAATAAGTAGGTATAGGACAGGACGTATTGGTCTATCGATTTGAAAGTGCGAAATAACCGATGATTTTAGACCCCCAGCCTTTGCCACGCTGACCCATTGTTTAGCTTTCGGTATTGACTTTTATATTCCATTTCAGAGGATGGGCGATAGAGGGTAGCACCACTAAGATGTTCCTCTGTTATCTCAGCATCCAGCTGGCGAGGGATAACTATGAACTCTCCTCCCTTATCACTAACAGACAATCTTATTGTTTTCGAGTTTATTAATTCTCTAATTTCCCGCGTGCCACGAAGTGAATGAAGTTCATCCGTTCCTTCATGTTTAAAATTTAACAAGAGCTGTGAATCATCATTGAGCCTAGACATTTACCCTAATTGCAAATTAATGTTAAAAGTGAACGTCGTGCTCATATTTCTTGTTTTACATTATAATATTGTTAGCTCCGACTACTCTGAGAAGCATTCACCTGCAACAACGTCTACAACACCTAGTGAGGAGGAAGAGGAGGAAAAATCGACGAGCGAACTTTCTACTGAACCCGAAGAGTTCGCTACATCGACGACCGACCTTACCACACAAAAGGATTACGAAGTACTGACGAACATACCCAGAATAGATCAGCCAGTGTAAGTGGCATCAGCGAAGGAACAGCTTACTGATATAGAATCGGAGCTAGCCGATGATAATTTAGACTTAGTTCGTAATGTAAACGAACAGGGTTTATCGACGGTTCAGATGTTGAGCATCGTAATGTGCTGGATCTCTAAGAACTCTGCTTTTTTAAAATTCCACAACGACTGTAAAAGTTGAGAAACATTTTCGTCTTTCAGCAATCAATATGAGAGTTCACTATTGAAAAATGTGGCAATTACGGAAAGGATGAACCATTTCGCTACTTTCTTCGTAATTTTCCATATGCTGAAAACTTCTACATGAAGTTTTTAGGTTTCAACGTTAAATTCCTTACTCATTTCATATGTGTAATAAACGATTGAAATCACTTAATGGAATACCACTAAGGTTATTGAAAAGAGTGGCTAATTTGTCACCAAATCAGCTCAAGCTATCCACGAGTATTGGTAAAAGCTAACAAAAAGCTGTTACACGACTTCTTCTCAGGTAGTCTTCCGTCACCTTCGTCTTTTTCACGGCTAAGATTACTCGAGTCGAGTGCTCACAGCACTTAATCCTTTCGACATTGGCGCTAAAGTGCTGGCCACATTGAAGTCTCGTGACAATGATACGAAATGTTCGTTACCCATGATGACACTAAATTATCGCTTACGAAAGTTTACCACTATATTTTGCTTGCGGCTGTGTAATATAGAACCGGGAGTCGAATTTTATAGCTGCTTAATATTTGAAGAGATTTTAACAACACTAGAGTACGACTGCGCACTATCACAACACTGCACGGAATAATCAGTACTCATCGAACATTGCTGTCATTTTCAGTTCCCTAATTAGTAAGCAGTTCCTATCATAATAGGAATTTCTTCGAATTTTTGACGATTTACAAAGTGTGCTAATTCTTTATAAGCCGCCGGCCGCCGTTAAGTATGTAAAACCTCTGCCAGAGCTATGGAGAAGCCTCTCATGGTTATCATATCATAAAAGCAGTGAGAACAATACATTTTACTTACTTCACCCTGAAGGAACCTCCGATGCTGTGCTGTTAGGTAAAACGAGTAGGCGTGATATTGAAACGTCGGAACCATGTTTAGATGTCGAAATCTGAGAGAACTGAAGAAGAGACACCCACAATGTTGCTGAGATATTTGCAAAACTCGACCGTATGTGTTTGCGGTGGGGAACGAACGCGTTATTACCCTTCCCAGAGCCTAACGCGTTCACCACCACACCACACGATTCTTTCATATCGCCTGTCTGTCGGCTCGTTCTATCGATCGGCGCCGTCGGCAACCATCTGCGAGTGGGACTGATCTAGAGAACCCAAATCTGCAACGAACCCAGTTAAGATAAGGCTGTAGTCGAAAGACAGTGATAACTTTTTCTTTACTGCCTATTATAATTTTCAATGGCAGAATATTACGTGTGCCAGCAGCAATATGCTGAGATATTTGCAAAATTCCGTACCGTAAGCGTTTGCGGCGGGGAACGAACCCGCTATAACCCTTTCCTGGGGCTAACGCGTTCACCACCACGCCGTTCGCTTTCATCGTTTCGTCTGCCTCTCACCTAGTTCTATCGATCAGCGGAGCCATCAGCAGCAGAGAAGAAAAGATATTTTACAACGTACTACTCTAACATCCGAAGCTTCTATTAAAGACCTGCATTAAGTGCTACGTCATAGGACTGAGCAAGACGAGAACACATTGTTTTCTAAAATCTGCCTACGACGAACAGTACTTTTCCATTGCCTTCAACTCCACCATTTAGATTTTACATTAAGTGTATTAAAAGTTGAGTAATGGACATATTTTTCTTACTCATTCTTCCTCTGAAGATTTTCTTGTGAAAATGTTTCCCGTAGCATTGATTTACACAAGATTTACACAATTGAAACGGTGAGAGATCTTTTTAAAGGCCCCAAACGCCGTCAGTTCCAGACCACCTGTATCACCCGTAGTTCTGTTGATCGTCGAGTGAATCAAGCGGGCGCCAGTAAATCTTCCACTTTTCTCTATCGCGTGCAAGAGTAGCGCAATGGGTTCTGCTCGCTCTAGGGATTCGTCGAGTATCATATCTTCCTTCTAGGTTTTTCGTGAAGAACTCTGACCATCGGGTCGGTGGTCTTCCTGCAGTGCTTCTAGATAATACTCATTAACAAATCGTAGTTAAATGAATGGAAAAAGCATAAAAAAATTGGCATATTTTATTCAAACAAATATAAGAGACAAGTGAAGGCAACATAAGTTGTCTACGAGGATTTTGTGCCTATGATGTCGGTGATGTGAAATGAAAAGTGTTTATGATATTGGGCTTACACAAGGTTGATAAAGATGTTTATTCAGCAAACGTTTCGATGGTTTCGTCTTCATCAGAGCCGATGATCCGAGTCCATGGTCCACAGTTGTTCGTGTTCTCGACGTGGCGTCTTTGTCGCGCACCAAACCGGATCCCCCTCAGTGGAGCATCTCTCTCGAATCAGCCATACTCACCTGACTATGCTCTTTTATGTAGAGCGGTTGCCGTTAATACTGTTATCCGTTGATAATATTTTGTTTCTCAACGGATAATCCACTTTTTAGCGGTCGCTATTAAGTCGGCTGGCACATAGCAAATAGGAAAATTGAGTTGAAGAGATTTCAATACCAAAAATTCTGCCCGCCTTACCATTCTTCTCCATTGTTCGGATTCCAATAACAGTGTGGTGAGTTTAATCCTGATGCCCATCTGTAGCACTTAGTACTCGAAAAAGCACCGCATGAATGAATGGCGTATGTTCATCGTAACGAAACCGAAAATGAAAGCCCAGTCGTCAGTGGAAAGTCAGCAACGTTCTAGAGATGTTTTTTATTGTCGAAACGTGTAATCTGGTTCTCGGCAAAACGCGTAGAATGTTTTTGCTGTATGGAACGAGAGAGTTAGACAGGTTTTTTAATGACAAGGTTGACTGTCCTCTCTTGCTTCGACCATGATGCCTACAGTGACGTTGGATTCCCATCTGCACCACTTGCAGATAGTCTTCGACCTAGAAGACCTTTCGTCGTTGGCATCGTGTTGATTTAAACGAGAAACACGTGGTTAAAAGCGAGATTTTGAATGTCGACCACAGCCTCGGATCGTTATCACCAGGATAGCAGCTGTAAGAATCCGCAAGTTTTGGCTGACGAGGGATAAATATTTCACTTTTTATAGCAGTTCTTATATTCTATCAATGGCTTGTTTAACATAAATATTATGGCTCGGAGCAGTTTTTATAGGCGGCGTAAACTTTTTGACCTCTTGCGGCAATGAAGACGTTAAGGGTAGTTTCTGCTTTTGCTTGGTTTTTAAAGCACTTCTCGCATAGGAAGTTGTCTACATGCTTGAAGTGGTGGAGAGTAAATGCAACTTACTGGGCCGATCGTCGTCGGTTGTCGTAGAGGAACCATTTCTCGTCGCATGTCACAGTACGGTCTGGGAACGGGGCGTCCTAGTTGTGGAGAAGGCACACCGACGACACTTGAAAACGAGAATTGCTTTCATTGCCCTTCAATTGTGGAGTATCCATTAAACGACTTTTTTCGTTTTTCTATCTTATTTGATGCGCCTAAATAGTTGAGATGTTTACACAAAGCTCTGCTGCAACTTCTTGAGCAAATGTGCGTTCATTTGCTTCCATCAAAAATTTCAGTTCACCGTCGTCAACAGCAGAGGGGCGACCGCGACTTCCCCATCTTCAAAGTAAAATTTGTCACGACGAAATTTTCGAAACTCACGTCAGACTGTGCGCACGCTATGCTTTCCTATCACTGGCTTCTTGTCACAACAATGCTTCAGGACATCTGCTCTGCGTATATCCGAGTTTGAAATCGTGGAAGTAGATTTATAGAAACTCCCTGTTTTGGGTTCTGAAACATCAACCTTTTTTTATTTTGTTTTATACGACCTGTCTTCACGTCTACTGTGAGGATCCCAGCACTTTTCACATTCAATTCGTTTCCTCGCATAGATTGTCCACAAAGATCCAACTTTTTAAGTATGGCTTCCGTTGTTGCTTGGGGATTTTCATTTCATCTTGAATGTCGTAAAATGCTGGTCGAGCAATTTTCACTGGAGTTCTGAGATGGCCGCGCTGGAGTGTTCCCAATTGGATTTCAGGGAGTGGTTTTTCCCAAAAAATCCGCTACCAATTTCCCGACCCTGGAGGAATGACAGGCTAGGTTGGCCCAGAGCGGAAACGAACTAGTACCATGCTCGTGATGACGGGCATCACTACCAATGTGCTATGCGCCTCTTTTCACTAATTAATCGATATGAAACTATTCCATGAATGTTTCAGCGCTGAATTGGAGTTAGAACTATTTTATAAACTGAAGCAAATGGGAGAAAAGCGTGCGATTGCTAGTGAGAGCTGAAATGGAAATTGAAATTAGACCTTTCCAGTAATTGACACGGTGTGCTGGGTGGCACCTCCTATGACAAAGTTGCCAAAATTGTGCCTTATAAGAGTGCTCGCCCTAAAAATGTAAAACAAACAACTAGCATACACTTAATTTAACCTCGGTACTGGTCAATACCACGGATCTACCTCATATGAGGGATCTCGAACCGGTTTGTCGCGAGGCCACGTGGCGCGTCTTCAGGTGGCGGATAGAGAGTTAATTGCAGACCAAAAGTGACCTTTGCTTTCTTGAGAAGCAGGTAGATCTAGGGAATGGACTCCCTGGTTCTGCTGCACTGATTTGGCACATGCTTTCGTTTTTTCTGTATTTGCTAGGCGTATTCATGCATGCGTGTGTGGGTGCGTTCTTGCTCATGCGGATTGTACTTTACAAGTCAATTAGGTCAAAAGCCTGTAATCAAGTGACAAGGAAGTATATGGGAGGCGGTTAGGAGTCGCCTCCAACAAATAAGCTCCATCTCCACTCTGGGAGAGCCTGTCAGGCCACCCGTGAGTAAACCCAGCCCCCACGTTCAGAGCCCAGCAAGCTATACATGGGTAGCAAAAATGCTAAACACAG